TGAAAGAGGGTCTAGCCTAGCAAACCTTTTGTATCATTACCCCAATACCCCCATGCATATGGGATATATTGAGTATGGTGATCAGATCATGATATGAATAAACATAACAGTTTAAATAATGCACCAGTAAGGCCTTTTCGCGACCCACCATGAGAATTTCGGGGGGAGCTGAAGCCCCCCAAGCCCCCCCCCCTGGCTACATGCCTGACCATAAGCATTACCAGCAACTGTTTAGAGTGGGTCAACTAAATACAAAACACCAAGGACAGTTCTACACTGACCAAAAAAGTGATAGCCAGGCCCAACTCGCTGACCCAGAGGTGACAAAGTAGTCCTTACTGGGCAGCCACCCTAAAAGTCACCCTTCCCCCATATCACAGCTGTTGCCAAGCACAACGCTTCGCCTATTTTACTCTTCGGGCACCCTGGATGATGTTAAGGGAGGGGACAGGAAAGGGGACTACCATCCCATGTCCCCAGGAAACTTGAGTCTGGACACCACAGGATGACTGTCTGGAGACCATAGGATGACTGTCAAGAACCATATCATACTGGGTTTGTTTTTTTGCCCCTTATCATGGTGGAGCTCCTCTTTGGCAACAGATCTTGACGGATCCCATTAGATGGATCCCATTAGATTGCACAGGCCAAGGCCCTGCCCCATCTATGAGTAAAGTGGTGAGGAAGTGTTGCAGTCTAGCTTTCTCACCACCATGGTCAGTCAATTGTCTTTTGAATAGTTCAGACAGAGCAACCCATGGCTTTCAGGATTTTCTTCCATCTGATGGGGGAAACAACAATGCTCCAATGCGCCTTTCCCCTGTCTGATGGGGAAAGGGACAGAGTGCCAATGCACCTTACCCTGGTGTCCCCATGTGACAGGGGAAGGAGAGAGGGTGCGCGACTTGACATAAGACGCCACACGCACCTTCTGTTTTGTTGGGATTGCTGGCAAAATGGAACAATAGAGAAGGGAGGTGCTCATCAGTATGATGAGGTCCCTAAAAGTGCAAAATAATCACATGCTTAACAGACTTTTTGCTAACAGTGGTGCTACTGAAGTACACCTCAAAGTAAGAAAGAGTACTGTAATGTGCCTTCAGCTATTTATCATAGTGTGAAGTGTGTGGGAACAGACATGGGAAAGTTAAAAATGAAGATAGAAACATCCACAAAGCAGCAGTCTTGCAGAAGCACGTTTAGGGGCCTTTGACAGAGTCAATACTAAGGTAGCTCAGGATTTCCATAAACATACTGTGCCCAGCTGTTGAGCCTTGGTGCTAGTCATGGCGTGAGAAATTTTGATAGTGAGAGTGATCAAAAGGAGGAGTGGCCAAAAGGATTCTTGGTAGCTGTTTTGAAGGAGCTTACAGCAGCAAGGCTGGAAACATACTGTATATACTCGAGTATAACCCTAGTTTTTCAGCCCTTTTTTTAGGCCGAAAAGGTTCCCTTCGGCTTATACTTGAGTCAATGTTCTTTATTATTTTACTCTATTATTGTTATTTTATTACATTTATTATTTTACTCTATTATTATTATTATTATTATTATTATTATTATTATTTTACATTTATTATTTTTCTCTATTACTTATTATTAGAAGGATACATTATTACATTGACATTGAAGAAGGTTAGAATAATGGTTTAATCAGAGTTGGACTGTCTTATCTTAAATTAGTTTTATGTAAACACTAGCTGTCTCCAGCCACTCGATACTGTGGCCCAGTCTGTGTATATGTGTTTTGTGTGTATATGTGTATAAATTTGTGTATATGTGTGTTTGCGTATACATGTGATTTGCGCAGGCATTGTAATTTTTTGGGGTTTTTGTTTTTTAAATTCTCTTTTGCTGTTTTTTTTCTTCAGTGTTTTTATGAGTGATGGTCACTCATTCGCCTGATATTTGTATTCTGTCCGAATTAGGTGTCAATTCATCCATTGGTTTTTGAGTTATGTTAATACCACAAACGAACATTACATTTTTATTTATATAGATTCAAAAACATTGAACCTACTGATGCCTCAGTTAATGTAATTTTATTGGTATCTATTTTATTTTGAAATTGACCCATAGCTACTGCATTTTCCACCCTCGGCTTATATTCGATCCAATACGTTTTCCCATTTTTTTGTGGTAAAATTAGTTGCCTCGGCTTATATTTGGGTCGTCTTATACTTGAGTATATACAGTACATTTAGTAGCATCAAGATTCCTCTGCATGCTGTGAGGCCAGGAGGGAAGCTAGCAGGCCCTATAACACTGGGTCAAGCTCTGTGATCTGAGAACTATAATGTCTGGCTGATGGGTAGATTTAGAATATTATATCAATAATTATACCTAATAGAGATAAATGATTTGCCCAGTACTGAAACCAATGTCAAATACATGTATCAGAAAACCATACCTATTGAAATACCTGTATTTACTTGAATCTAATGTGCCATTGAATCTAATGCACACTTCAATATTCAAAACCCTGGAACCAAAACAGTATTTGCTGCTGAATGTAATGCACAGTGGCCAAAAGTGCACTTTTTTGTAATTTGCATAAGTTGTATGCTTATAATTCCTTCTTCAAAAGCGTTTTAGAACATCAAAACTTTCAGCAATGGAAAAGAAAACCTTGGGATGCATCTATGCTGTAGAATGAATCCACTTTAACTGCTGTGGCTCAATGCTATGGTGTCACAGGGGCTGTAGTTTGGGATCATGGGGGCTGCCAAAGAATTTATTTATTTATTTATTTATTTATTTATTTATTTATTTATTTTTCTATATTTATATATCGCCCCTCTCAGCCCGCAGGTGACTCAGGGCAGTTTACAGTCAGCACCAAAATCATAAAACACAATCAAAACATTAATATAAATATAAAACCAAGTAAAATCAATCAATATAAATAAAAACATGTATCATTTGGGTCTCTTTGTTAAAAACATTGTCCTCACTAAAGTACAAATCCCAACACTGGGTAGCATTGATCTGTGGCAATTAAATTAGATGTGAGGCCCAGGTGCAGCTCCTGAAGTAGCTTCCCATTTTGCTTTGGTCTAAGATTCCTGTAAGATGCAAATCTAATGCATTGCATTAGATTTGGGAAAGTGATATAGCAAAAAAAGTGAGCATTAGATTCGAGTAAATAAGGTATTAAATTACTCATACAACATGATTTTTAGTTCTTCCAAACCCAATAAAGCACAAGGGCAAGTGTTTTGGTAGATTTCAAATACCTAAACAGCACAGGCCAATTTTCCATTGGTTAATTTGCACATGATAATTATCTTTTAGTGTTTCCCTCTAGGTTGAAATTGACAACAGCTGAACTTGCCTCTAACATTTTTCTAGTTAAATTTACCACCCCACCGGCTCATATATGACAAAGCCAATAAACGTTTCCCCATTCAGCACGCTATCAGACTTGTTATAATTAAACAACTAATGCCAGATTAGAATAAGTGTCACAAAATATGGGAGAGGTCACAGGTTGAATCAGCTAATTATTTCCTTTTATTTTCAGAAATAAATCTATCTAAGACCATGCCATTCTCTCTCTTCACATTTCATAGAAGAAAGAATTAGTTTCACTTTTACTGTTTTAAGGAAATCTCTACATTTATTTGTGAAGAGCAAAATTACATTGCTACTTCTTAGGTCAGAACATGCGGAATGGGAGTATTCGTATTTATCTGAAGTAGCAATATAATTTCGCCTTGTTCACAAAAATGTGCAAATGCTTGCATATTAAAATTAAGACAGATAACATCGATCTCACATAACTCTTCCTCAATCCCTTGTAGGTACCTCAAGCTGTGCCTGCTGATGGCTAGATCATTATTTTAAATGATAAAACAGCAGGACATGTAATATATGACAGCATTGCCTTGCAAGTGCCTTTTTGAAGGATGTATGTCCTGGGGTGTATGAAAGAGCTTGAGAAACATTGCCAAAAACATCCAGCAGTTTAGATTCCTCTGTTTGTGTCAGCCACATTAAGTTAACATCTCGCCTCTTATTTTCTACAGTCCGAAGCAGCGTTTCTCAACCTGGGAGTTGGGACACCTGGGAGGGTCACGAGGGGGGTCAGAAGGATCGCCAAAGACCATCAGAAAACACAGTATTTTCTGTTGTTCATGGGGGTTCTGTGTGGGAAGTTTGGCCCAATTCAATTCCATTGTTCAGAATGCTCTTTGATTATAGGTGAACTATAAATCCCAGCAACTACAACTCCCAAATGTCAAGGTCTATTTCTCCCAAACTCCACCAGTTCGCATTTGGGCATATTGAGTATCTGTGCCAAGTTTGGTCCAGATCCATCATTGTTTTGGGTCTGGATGTAGGTAAACTATAACTCCAAAACTCAAGGCCCATCAAACCCTTCCAGTATTTTCTGTTGGGAGTTATGTGTGCCACGTTTGGTTTAATTCCATTGTTGGTTGAGTTCAGTATGCCCTTTGATTGTAGGTGAATATAGATCCCAGCAACTACAACTCCCAAATGACAAAACCAATTCCCTCAAACCCCACCAGTATTCAAATTTGGGTGTATGGGATACTTGTGCCAAATTTGGTCCAGTGAATGAAAATACATCCTGCATATCTGATATTTACATTACGATTCATAATAGTAGCAAAATCACAGTTATGAAGTAGCAATGAAAATAATTTCATGGTTGGAGGTCGCCAACACATGAGGAACTGCATTAAGGGCTCACGGTATTAGGAAGGTTGAGAAACACTGATCTAAAGGGCCATGTTTTAAAAGACAAGTTCCCATTTTTAAAACTGGGCTTTATCTTTAACACTATCATCACCACCCTTTAATTCTTTCAACCAACTTTTAATATAATTAAATATTCTCATTACGATAAATAATTGCAAATTAATATAAGCTCATTGGTGCTTAGGTAGAGGCCATAGAGACAATTCCAATAATATATGTGTGCATAGTTCTTTTGCTGTACTCCCTGTACTTTTTCCACAATCACTCTCACTTACGTAGGACATCCAGGCACTGGCAGCAGAAATGTTAGGCACAGCCACAAAAGTTCCAGAATTGCCACAATGATCCACTCTGGCCAGTAGAGGACAATATCTCGGATTGAAGCCCACCAGGTACCAAACTGCAAAGAGAAAGAAAAACAGCCAAGAAAATAAATCTTTGCACACTACACAATTAGGGCATTATGATTCCACTTCAACTGCTGTGACTGCAGCCTATGGGATGTAAGAATTAGCAGGCAAAAAAAATAGCAAAGAAAGCAAATATTACTTTCTTTAGGTTTTACTATCACATCTCGGGAGGATTGGCAAGCATGTTTTCTGCTCATAAAAAAATATAAAGAGAAATTCTACCAGAAGTTGCCCAAAACACTGGATTGCAATAATCTCACCAATGATCTTGTTACATGGCCACCAGAATCGCCTTGCGTCATCAGGGGGCATGGGGATCCCAGCTCCTGTACCAATTGATTCCATGGGGGGAAGCATGGACTGCACAGCTTTACCCCATTGCTTCTAATGGCAACACAGTAAGGCCCCCAATGTTGCCGCAGTGGTGGCATGTGCAGACTCCGCCGCATATTACCCATGCACCAACATAATTTGATGAGAGCCGGCGGGCTCCTTGGCTGATGTATGCCATTGAAATCTGCCCTTAGGATGAGGTAATGAGAACTGTGCATAATGCTTCTATAAAACTAAAAAAGCATCCTCAACTACAACATTTGCTACCGGGCATAAATAAAAGTGCTGGCTTTAGCCTATAAAGCCCTAAACGGTTCCGGCCCCACTTACCTATCCGATCGTGTTTCCCCTTATGAACCTTCCAGGAATTTAAGATCACCTGGGGAGGCCCTGCTCTCGATTCCGCCTGCCTCAGAGGCACGCTTGGTGGGGATGAGAGACAGGGCTTCTCAGTGGTGGCCCCTTGGCTGTGGAACTCCCTTCCTGGGGATATTAGATCGGCCCCCTCCCTCCTGACCTTTAGGAAAAGAGTAAAAACCTGGCTCTTTGAGCAAGCTTTTGGAACCTCATTGTAACAAGATAAACTCAGTATTGTGAACAAATATGGAACAGCTTAACGATGCAAATGGACATGGATTTAAACCTGGAAGTCATTGATTTTTAGTTTTAAATTGCTTTTTATATGAATTTTATTATGTGATTTAACCAATGTATTTATGTGTGTTCGGCATCTAATTGTTACACATATATACATACACACATGTGGCGCAGCTGGCTGAGTGTCAGCTGCATTAAGATCACTCTGACCAAAAGGTCATGAGTTCGAAGCCAGCCCGGGTTGGAGTGGGTTTCCAACCAATTGTGTAGCCTGTTGTCGACCTTTGCAACCCGAAAGACAATTGCATCTGTCAGGTAGGAAAATAAGGTACCACCTTTAAAAAAGTGTGGGGAGGCTAAATTAACTGATTTATGAGGCCATAAAGAAGACTCCAGCAAAGCACTCCAGCAAAAGCATGCGGGGAATGCGGAAGTACTTCATCAGCGTCGCAGATGGACGATGAAAGTGACAGCTCCCCTGGCGGCCAGAAAAAGTTAAATAGCCTCTGTGTATGTCTGTATACATTTGTATGTCAAAAATTGGCATTGAATGTTTGCCATATATGTGTACACTGTAATCCGCCCTGAGTCCCCTGCGGGGTGAGAAGAATATAAAAGCTGTTAATTAATAAATAAATACACTGCCCTGAGTCACCTTCAGACTGAAAAGGGCGGGATAAAAGTGTGGTAAATAAATAAATAAATAAATAAACAATAAACATGCTAACTGAAGGAAAGGCTGGTACAGATAATGTCCACTGTGTTGTGGTGCTAACAAGAACTTTTGCAAATTCTTTTTTTTTTAATCAGTGTTAAAGAAGCAATGGGCAATTGAAATATGTATAAAAACCTATTTATTTGAAATGATTTTATTGCTTGGTGTCCTTTGATGGGAGCCAGTAGCGTCTGTGGGTGATGTAGGGCAGAGCCAATGCATTCCACCGAAAATTGCTCTTTGTGATAAGGTGATAAATTTCGGCACCTACTACTAAGTTGCGCAGATCTGCCATAAACACTCCTGCAGCAGTTAGATTGCACCAGCCAAAGGTTTCTCGTACCTCCTAAGTTCCTGCTCAAGCTAGTTTCTCACCATAAGAAAAGTTTAGAGTTGATTTCTCCTTCAGTAAATAGGCAGAAATTCTTATAAGGCTTGCTTGGATTGTATGCATTGAAGATCTGTTTCTCTTCTCTTCCCTCCTTCTCTCTTGTTAAATAGAGTCAGGAAGTTAACAAGGTTCTTGCTCACCCTGAATAGTAAATAGCCTCTTTATTAATCCAGTTTTATATTCTAAAAGTTTAAGAAAATGAAATTATTAAATGCGGAGCCCATTTAAAAACATTATGTTTTTCAGTGGTTGGGCATACTCTTCCTTCTGCCCCTTCTGTTCAGGATAATTGTTGCTCCGTGCACTGATTTTGTAACTTGTCTTTCTTATGTACACATCAGTAAGGCAAAAACTAGTTTCAGCTGACTTGCACATCCCATGGAGCTGCTAATGTACAAAATCATTTTCAAATATGTATATATCAATGTTTATAAATTCATCCTTCAGGTGTTTGAAGACAACTGCTAAAACATATGCAAACTATTCTGATACTGACAAGTACATGTTGCTGACTGCAAGGTGTAGCCAACACATTCCTACATTCCCCCAAAGCTAACTGTTTCCCAGTTCTATAAACTGCAGAAACATTTTTTTCAGAGAACTCCCTGGGAAAAGAAAAGGAGCCTCAGAGATACTGAACATAATGAGAGTGCTTTCAGATAGGTCTCACTGCTCTTATCATATCATTTCTGTTTTGAGTCTGGGAAATCCAGATCTTTTTGCTATAAACTAGGTGTAATGAAACCTGGAGGGCTGCTTTTGCTACAACAAAACAGCTTTGTTAGGGGGACTAGGAAGAAGGAATCAGTAGATGCGTTTGTGCATGAGCACACACACGCACGTGTGTGTGTAACCCTTTCACTCTGCATCACATATTTGGACCAAAGCACCCACATCCAAGAGCATTTTCTCTTTTATATTCTGAGCCTGGACTTGGAAAACCAAGCATGTTTCTGTATCTATCTGTAAGGCAAGTAATTATTTCATGGCTTTGTAGGTGTTCCCTCACAATATTTCTCAAATCGTCTTGAACTATATGATTCTTAAATATGTAAAATTGTTCTGTTGCACAATCATGTGATTGTTGTTGGGTTTTTTTATGCAGTAACTGCAATTAGATCTTTGTTCACTTATTTTGGACTACTGACAAGATCAAAATAGCACCCATCTACAGTATAGGAAATTAGGGTTGTATGTATACAATTGGCCCTCCATAACCAAAGATTCTGCATCCACAGATTCAACCATCCATGGCTTGAGAATATATATGTGTGTGTGTGTGTGTGTGTGTGTGTGTGTGTGTGTGTGTGTATCAACAGGTAGGTTGGGTCCTAGAGCCAGACTCCAGTGAATACCAAGGGCCCATTGTACTGAGTCAAGCCATTCATTGACTTATACGTGGTTCCTTATGCAGCACTGGTCTTTGGTTAGAGATGCAATTTACAACTTTGTCCCACCCCCGTTTTTCCCATTTTCTTATCATCTTTGTACGCTGGCACAACAGAGTTCCACAGAGGGTATCTCATGACACACAGCCACTTCTGGTGGCTGTGCATGGAAATCTGTTTCGGCAGCATTCAAAGGCAGTCAGAAGACCCCATTTTCAGGAGTCGGGTATTTCCCAACTCCTGATTGCAGGCGATAACAGGAAGTGCCAGAAAGCCAGAAGAGGATAGGGAAACATTGTGGGATGGCTGGCCATCTCAAAGACAGATCGTACTGGGGTAAATTGTGTCTCTACTCTATATGACGCTGTCTCCCACTTTCCTCTGCTTTTCCCCATTTTCCTCCTGCCCGTGGGATAGAAGTACTGCCTAGATTTAAATAATGGTCCAGTGGGCCCTAGATTAACTTTTCCCTGTTCATTCATGTACATATGATGACCATGAATTCCAATATTAATGTATGGGGCAGGTGGCTGCTGATAATGTCCATGAATTCATTTTGTTAGCATTATTATTTTCACTAGTATTAGACACAAGGTGCCTAAAATCAAAGTTGTATATTTAATACAAACTTGCAAGCTTACCAAACTCTGAGTTGCTGTGGTACCCAATTTCCTATACTATCAGCAACAGGAATAGCAAATGGCTGGTGGTCTATAAATCAACTGCAAAGTTTTATAAACCTATAACTTTTCATTTTCTAATCATCGCTATTTTCTAACCCAGGTGTTCTTAAACATTTTCAGCCACAGAGCAATTTTTAAAGCAAAAGTTTATTGTGGAACTCCAAGAAATGTTTATATATTATGTAATATATAATATATAATAATCTCTCTCTCTCTCTCTCTCTCTATATATATATATATATATATATATATATACATACATATATAGACATGGACAAACTTTTCGATGCATTGTGTTTAAAAATGTGAAAAACAGGCCAGGTCAGTGGCAAATGGATGAAGAGTGTTTGTGCGAACTAACTGGGGAAAAAAAACATAAACAAATTCCTATCCACACTGCACATATCTCATTTGTAGTGCAAAAAAAAAAAAAAAAGGGGGGGGAGAATAATACACTATTTAAAATGAAGAAAAAATTCAACCAACATAAACTTAACAGCATTTCAGTGGAAGACCCCCAGGGCCATTCAGTCCCCTTTTGCCATGCAGGAAAAGCACATTTGAATCAGCCCCTGCACAGTGGGAGGGAAAAGGGGTTTTGGAAGCAAGCAAGGTGAGGAAAAATGTTTTTGTGGAGGAGCACGAAAAGGAATGGAAAGCTAGGAGGAGGAGGAGGAGGAGGAGGAGGAGGGAAGGAGAACCACAGAGCCCCTCAATATGCTTCGCAGAGCCCCACATGTTCTCTGAGCACACTTGGAGAACTGCTGTTCTAACCTATAGACATGCCGTGGCCATACCACCTTAATGAATAGTGAAAATCTCTTCAGCACTTGGAATGCAATCATATATGTAGTAGAATGATGTAAAATCAGCTCCATTATTGCATCTTACCTGATATCTGCCAATATCCTTTATACTAAAGCAGGTCTGCATCAACGCCAGAATGAAATAAGTAAACCCAAGGCGCTGCAGAACTCCTGGAATTCTTGCCCAGCTCCATGATACTGTGAGAACAAAGGTGTATGTCTCATATAAAGGCCCACAATTCCAAAACCCACTTTTGCTTTCAGTATTCAGTTCTCAAATTAGAAATGACGATTGTACTATATTGACATTAAATACTATGGGAGAGATACAAATGGGATATCCTTACTCGAGACCTCTTCAAAGCAGGGTTCTCTCTAATGTAGCCTTGACTGAATCGCTGGTCTCAAAGACCAAAATTGTATGGGGCCAGTTAAGTCTGTCAATATTCAACAAGCAATTGCAGGAAATGTTTGCTTTCATGTCATTTGATGGCTGTTTTTTCTGTTGTTAAATAATTATCCTGCACAGATAATCCTGCACAGAAGTTTTGCATGAAGGGACATGAGTTAACCTTTTCCATGGTGCTGAGCCTATGATCAGTGTCTCCAATAATTATGTATAAACCTCTTCCTCTGACATAGAACAGATCTGGAAGGTGATTTTCATTGGGAGTGTAGCATGGGGTGAAAGGATAATTTATTCCAGCACACCACTGTGCCAGTCATGATTAGCCTTCCTTTAACTGATAGTTTTTACCAGCGATGTCAAACACATTCTCACCAAGAACCACATCAGCATTAAGGTTACTTTCAAAGGGCCAGTTATAATTGTAAGACTGTATAAATGTAACTATGTTGCTCTTGCATTGAAAGCCTTCTGGACTACATAAAATGATATGACGGGCCAGATTCGGCCCACAGGCCTTGTGTTTGGCATATGTGTACCAACCTGCATAATCAAACTGCTTTGACATATTTCTAAATATGATCAAATAAACCAGCATTAGGCATTCTGATTTCAGATGATTTGATTTCACATTTGTGAGCAGCTTTGAATAAGTAAATAAAAATTACTTTTGGGGCAACACAATTACTAGAATTCTTCAGTCACATGTCTAGGTAGTTCAAAAAGGTTTAATCAAAAATAGTAACATTTCCAAACACTTTTTGGGATTAGAACTGGGAAACTTTGGGCTAGAAGTCTGGAGCGATTCCAGGAACTGTGTGGGAACAGACTGATGACTTCATCACATTGAGGTCCACATAGTGGGCAATAGCAGGTGGATTCATCCAATGGGGGAGTACGTACTACCATTTCTTTTTATGTTCCTGTGAAGAGCTAACAACCTTTGCATGCCTGTACCCATTTTGTAATTTGCACTGTGATTACTTTCTTTTTGTTTGCGTGACCTTCCATTTTGTATCACCATAATCCACAGCCATTTTCCTCTCTTCCCTCTTCTCTATCCCTTTCATAGTGTACCAATAATTTGCGAATAATTTTACTTTTATATATCTTACAAAGAAAGCTAAGCATACTTTTTCTCTCCAGTTAGATTTTTTTCTCCCCATGTAGATATGGGACTGGATGTTGTTCAATGCCTGTATTTTTGTTGTTCATTCGTTCAGTCGCTTCCAACTCTTCGTGACCTCATGAACCAGCCCACACGAGAGCTCCCTGTTGGCCATCACCACCCCCAGCTCCTTCAAGGTCAAGCCAGTCACTTCAAGGATGCCATCCATCCATCTTGCCCTTGGTCGGCCCCTCTTCCTTTTTCCTTCCATTTTTGCCAGCATCATCATCATCTTTCCCCAGCATCATTGTCTTCTCTAAGCTTTCCTTTCTCATGATGTGGTCAAAGTACTTCATCTTTGCTTCTAATATTCTTCCCTCCAATGAGCAGTCAGGCTTTACTTCCTGAAGTATGGACTGGTTGGATCTTTTCGCGATCCAAGGCAACTTTCCTCCAACACCACACTTCAAAAGCATCTAACTTCCTTTAATCAGCCTTCCCTATGGTCCAACTCTCACATCCATAGGTGACTAATACCTGTCTTACCAATTGATTATTCTGCCTTACAGATCCTAGTATCTCTCACATTTCCCAAAAGTATTAAGTCAAGGTCCCAACTCTACCTTCAGCAAGGGCAACATAGACTGCTGGGAATCTCATCACTTCCAATCTCAATTTAGATATGGCTACCCACAACACTGGCTTCATCCTGACAAAGCCTATAAAGAAAATATTCTACCTTCATGTCTCTTACCAACTCTTCTAGAAGCTAAAACTTAGCTAGTGCACTTCTGATTGTGTATTGGAATGGGTGGCTTGGGTTCAGAGCAAATGGAGTATCCCTTCCCCACTTCAGGATGTGCTTCTTCCTGGCTTGGTCCATATGCTGTCACTGCTATCTGGATATTTTGCCCATTATTCTCAACCTTGGATATGTCTCAAATATTTCCTGATGAGGCTCTCATATTAAGATACTGCCCTTTCCAAATTGTGTGTACCTCTGTGTATATGTGCCTTCAAGATGCCTTACAATTTATAGCAATCCCATGAATTTCACAGGCAAGGAAGCCTCAGAGATGGTTCTGCCATTTTTTCCTCTACAGTCCCTGTTATCCATTGGCAGTCTCCCATCCAAGTACTAATCAGGACTGGTTTTGCTTAGCTTCCAAGGTCAGATAGGATCGGTTGCCTTGAGGGCATTTAGACCTATGATTCTGCACATGAGCCAGGAAATGTTTACTGATTCAATATCCCTCTGTCTCCTGCCTGTTGCCTTTGCTCACCTGAACGCAAAGTCTTTAGGGTATTTAGGCCAGTTCCACATTGCCACCCAGCATTTTTAAAGTGCTTACATTTACGATACTGTATCTAAGGATTAATCAGCAGGTTTCATACTTTTAAAGCTCTGGGCTCCATCCAGCCTGTGTTGTCCACTTAAAGAGGAAGTATTCCCACCAGTCCATTACTGCCATTTATTCTTAATGTGCTGTTCTTTTGTTGCGCAAGCAAAATGGGGACAAAGACGGAAAGGGAGGGAGCTTGTGGAGGAGGTCTTGGCTTCCTCATTCACTCTCATGGAAGAGGAACTCGGCCACTCAGGATAAAAGAACAGTAATACAATGTCAAATTGTATGCTATAAAGTCTATGGGAATATCACAAGGTAATCGTATTCTTTCATGCGACCAACATCGGGCCGTCAGATGTTTTAGAATTGGTTAACTTGGCAAGAAAAATCCATTCTGATTGAGATAAAAGGAAAAGTGTAGTATAATATTACCAGTTTTTCATCGCATTACAAAAAATTGTTAGATTACACTGGGATATGATTGGGTTAGTATTAGGTTTTTTGATCATATGATACATTATAGAGGCCCTTCTCATGGCCCTTGGGAGACTGCATAGGCAGGGAGCAGGTGCTGGAAATGTAAGTCATAAATCCCAAATACATCCTCAAATTTCATAATTTATTTTAGCATTATTATCATATTTATTAACTATTGTACTATTATCATATTTATTCTTTTTTTTTTACTATTACAAGTTCTGAACAAAATAGGTCCTGTAGGTTTGGTCTTAAGGTGAATTTGTATGTAAGTCGGAACAGGTACATTTAACTCCACGTGTGTTTGTTTTATCTGAAGTTTTAACTGGTTAAAGTGTTTTACATGTGTGTTTTAATTGTAATCTTGGCATGTCCCTTGTAAGCCGCCCCAAGTCCCCTAGGGGGAGATGGTTGGCGGGGTATAAAAATAACATTTTTTATTATTATTTTATATGTGTTTAATTCAGGTCTTAATGAACACATTTCCCTTTATGAACCACTGTGGAAACTAAGATCTTCTGGGGAGGCCCTGCTCTCAGTCCTGCCACCATCACAGGCACATTTGGCGGGGACGAGAGGCAGGGCCTTCTCAGTGATTGTCCCCCGGTTATAGAACTCCCTTCCTGGCAATATTAGATCAGCCCCCTCCCTCCTGTCCTTCAGAAGGATGGTGAAGACCTGGCTGTGGGACCAAGCCTTTGGGGCAGTGCAATGAGGCAAAATGGTGTCCTGAGATGGTTTTTAAGCAACTTTTAATGTGAATATAAGTGATTTTAATGTTTGTATATATTTATGGTTTTATGTCCCGGCACTGAATGTTTGCCGTTTATATGTTGTGCTCCACCCTGAGTCCCCTACGGGGTGAGAAGGGCGGAATATAAATGTTTAAAATAAATAAATAAATAAATAAATAAATAAAGACAAAAATGCCTACAATGACAGGAAAGGAAACCTGGGAAGTCCTCTCCCCCATAATGGGCTGGATAGAAAACAAATCTTTCAGCTTCCCAGATTGAAAACGGATTTCTATCCTCCTGAATTCAGGAGGTTCCCAAAAAACGGATCGGGGCCCCACTGAAATCGAGGACACCGAAAAAGATCGCAGTTTACCCACATTGCACAAGCCTAGTAGTGAGTACTATTGAGTAGCTGGAAGTGATGATTGTGTGATTGGAACAGTGACTTCCTTTCCAGGCTTTCTTCTAAACCTTAAAGAAAATGCTGAATCCAAGGTGCTGGATCCATTAAAAACAGCTGGGAAAGTGTTTAGCACCAATTAAAGGAATTATTCTTTTAAAAGGGGGATGTAAAAGGGCATCCACATGTTTTGAGTTAACAAAATTTTCCCTTAAAAATGAGAAAGGCAGAAAAGTAGAAGTCTTATGTAGATTTGCCTGTCTTCCATTCTTTGCAAAATATCAGACTTTCTGCAGTCTGAAGGAGAGCTACAGGAAAAACACTGATGATTGGAGGACAGCATTGTGGGGAAGCCTCATAAAATGTAAGCAAATGGAGTATGGAATTTTTAAATGCAATGTGGAAGCATCCCACCTCATATCATGTGTTTTACATCACTCAGCATTAACAAGGAGAAGAGGGAGGGACATGACCCACTGCAGCGATATGGCTATTCAGACTTACAAATACAGATCTTTCTTAAAGCCCTCATTACTAAATTCATAAGGTTCTTGATTTAAAGAAAACTGAAACTTGCAATTAGGCAGACATAAGTGAAAATACAACAGCAATGAACTGTGGAGTCAGGAGGGCGATAGTCAAGAACGTAATGCATTCAAAAGAAATTTGGATTTGAAAGCTAATATCACAACTGCTCCATGGTTCCCAGCATTTCAAAGAGGCTATCTTGCAGTTCTGAAATGCAGAGATTGAGGCGGGGGAAACAGAATCACAAAACATCCAATCTAAGTGCCAAGTTCTTCGTTTGCGCTCATTTCTCTTCCTTCCCTTGGGCTCCATAAAAAGAGTTGTCATTGGTTTCTGCTTGAAAATGGATGCTGCATGTAACAGCCAAAAAACAGAGAAGAAAGCATTTTGATAAATAAATGATCGGGGCTGGAGGGGGGTGGTGATGGTTTATGCCTCTACAACTGCTGTTGGCTTTTCCAAATATGTCCAACGCGTACAGGATTTGCCATTGGTTGGAGTAGAAATGAGACACCTCCGGTCTGGTAATGATTGTTTCTAAAGTCCCCAGATTTGATTATTATCACTAGAAGTACCTCACTGTTTTGCCAAACTAAATTAGCGAGCCATTTTAGATGGAAGCAGAAAAGTGCTAACTGCTGGGTGTTACGATGCAAACAGCCCCAGCTGCTCAGGATTTAATAGGCCATCGCTAGCAGTTTTGCTGGTAAAAGCAAAGCTGTAATTGGGAAGGGAAGGCTTTTAGCAAAACAAACAGAATTTCACTATTGTTTCCAATGCAGAAACTCATGGATGGGAACAATCAAAATGTGACGTGTACATATAAGCACTCCTCTGCCCTGTCTGCTCTGTCTGAGAAGTTTCTTGTGGAGGCAGTTGTTTGACATCAGTTCTCGTAATCCTTCCCTGCCGGCAATGCTGGCTGGTGCTGCTGTCCAAAAACTTCTGGAGATCCATAGTTGTCCATTCCTGCCATTAATGCTATTTGTTGCAAATGGCTTGTGCAAATGGAAAAAAATCCATCTTTAGTAAAATGCTTGGATAGGAACTTGCCCCTCAGGCAATTTTTCTCACTGAGCTGCATTGACCTTACTGTACACTGATTATTTATTTCATAGTGGAAGAAAGAACAATAAGAAAGAAGAAAGAAAGAACTTGAGGATGACAAAATCAAAAGCCCTATGACCTGGTCTGATCTGTCCCTTTAACAAACTTTTGCTCTTCAGAAATTTGCAGGTGAAGTTATGTGTCACATATCTAATATTTGACCTTTGAAGTATTGTTTGTTGTTGTTTATTCATTCAGTCGCTTCCGACTCTTTGTGACCTCATGGACCAACCAACGCAAGAGCTCCCTGTTGGCCGTCACCACCCCCAGCTCCTTCAAAGTCAAGCCAGTCACTTCAAGGATCTCATCCATCCACCTTGCCCTTGGCTGGCTCCTCTTCCTTTTACCTCCCATTTTCATCAGCATTATTGTCTTCTCTAAGCTTTCCTGTCTTCTCATGATGTGGCCAAAGCACTTCATCTTTGCCTCTAATATCCTTCCCTCCAATGAGCAGTCGGGCTTTATTTCCCGAAGTATAGACTGGTTGAATCCTGCTGTAGAGCACTATTTGGACATGAGCGTAGCTCCATTAAAATAAATATTATTGCCCTAGATATAATATTGAATAAATATGGGTCAATTCAGGCATTACGATATTAAAAGGTACATAATACAATCCATTTTTGCCAGCATCATCGTCTTCTCTAAGCTTCTCTGTCACAAGTGCTGTACATGAATCCATTAACAAAAGGAAAGAGCTCTGTTACCAAGATGGCAGCAGTAAACTGTGTTGATTCTGAAGTTAGACATTAGATTATACATATCCAGAGGAGAACAGATAGAAATATTTGTAACTGACTATACTGCTATTTCTGCCACATTAAAATTGTTCTTAGAAACCCCTCTGCCATTTTTTAAAAGAAACCCCTTTGCCATTTCGCATTGTCTTGTCTCCTCACTCCTTCTAGATTGGAAATAAGAACAAGAAAATGTTTCCTCCCATAGCAGGAACAAGACCTTGAGCAGAATTAAATTAAATTACCTTGTCTACAGAAGCAACAGGCATAAGAAAGAGTGGCACTGAGTTCACTTTTTATTGTAAACTTTATCCAGTTCATTAAAAGAATGGTAGGCTCAAGTAATTATAATAATTCGATATTATAATGATAATTATATATTTACATTGCATGTAATATTACTAATAATATTACAATATAATGGTATAGTGCAATATAGTAATATATACTGATATTGCACTGTGCTAATAATATAATATATTGTATGAAAATATATATTGTAAGCCGCTCTGAGTCCCCTTCGGGGTGAGAAGGGCGGCATATAAATAAATAAATAAGTACCCTGAAGGCACCAAATCCCATTTGATCTTCAAAGCTAAGCAAGGTCAGTCCTGGTTACTCTACTTGAATGACAGGTGAATCCTGGGAATTGTAGTTGGGTGAGGCACCATCACTCTTTGACAGAGGATGCTTATATAAATGCATCTCCACTGATTCCATAGGATTTAACTATAACAGTTAAAGTAGTGTCAAACTGAATGTAGTGTAGAAACACCCTTAGAGGAAAATAAAAAGTTTGCTCTGAATAGCTCTTGCCATAAAAACTCTCTGTTAGGATCACCATAGTTCAGAGCCACTTTGAATGCACATAACAACAATCAGTGGCTGTACTAGCTTTTCTGCCCTATAGGACTGTGATCCTACAGGTTCTATAGGATTGTGATCCTACAGGTTTTCTGGGCTGATACACCAAAAAGTAATGGGAGCACAGAATTATTATATTAGTTTCAGCACTAACTACAGCACAATAAACCAAAGCAGTAATTTAAAATTTAAAAAAATATTTTCAACCAACCAGGTTTGTTGGGCTATTTTTCCAAGTCATATTGTTGTTTTACAGAAGCAAAAAAATAAAAAAGTAAGCTTTTGTTTATATCATGCTATTGGGTCTATTTTCCATGGAGTGGGATGCAGGACATCAATAGCCAGATGTACTAACTCCAGCATAAGCTAGGCAAAAAGGGAAAAGTAGAGGTTGAGTTTGCACTGGAATGCACATCTGAGTTTGGATGTCTGTCAGCACTGTATAACTATCAATGCCGTGTACATTCTGATTTATATTTCCATCCTCAGCTACTGCAGATTGCCAATGTGAATGAAATGCTCTACCAGTTTAATAGTCATCAGTTTGTGTAACTAATTTTTTGTTGGCGGAGGATCAAAAAGGATAATGGGACACTCTCTCCTGTAGATAGCTGAGGACATGAGGAAGCCACTCAGAAAATGCGACAGGCATGACATGAGGGGATGGGAAGATCACAAATGGGTACTAATACAGCCTGTGTGCATATGTATATGCCTCAAGTTGCCTGTAGACTAATGGCAACCCCCTGATTTTCATAGGGTTTTTCTTATGCAAAGAATACTCAAAGAGGATTTTGCATTTCTTCTTCTGGAATATAACTTACGCACCTGGCATTCCTTGGTGAACTCCCAAGTACTAACCAGAGCTGGCCTTGCGTAGCTCCCAATATCAGTCTAGATCTGGTGCCTTTAGGGTATTTGGACCTTTGATACAGCCTATGAAGGCCTAAAGATTTTAGAAACCCTGTCCTTCTTGAAGTTGTGAGGAGTTTAAAAGGTACTGTGTTCTTGAGTCTGGGTCCTTTTTGACTACACATTTATAATGGTATACTCAACTTTAATTGCCATTTAATTGCCATATAGTTTGGTTAAAGATACTAGAGTTCTCTGGCCAATGTCACTGGCTAGCTTTAGGATGTCCTTGTTGTCTGACTCTTTTATTGGAGTATTCCCTTAATGAGGTTTTTATTTTACCTAAATAAATATGGTGGTAAATAGATATTTTGTTAGAATTGTGTCCTGTAAAGGAGGGATTAAAGCTCCCTAATATATGTGTTACAGTTCAATAAAAACTTGGGGGATTCACTTTGCATTTAGTTCATTTAAAACCCAGATGTAGTTGTAGCTAATTTGGGCACTATAACTAGAGACCTTATCATATGAACCATTTCTAGTGCTAAATCAGTATGCATCCTGTAGTTTGGATGTAAGAATCTAATGCCTCCTTACATCACTGTGACCTTTATTTTAAAGATGTTTCTAAGATTGCGCAGTGACGTAGCCTAGAAGTCTTAAACAACTATTCTTGCGAGAGTTTAGAAGATCTCGCGTCTGCATGGAAATAGGTTTCCTTGATCGCTACCCTTTGGCACAAATGGGCAAAACCAGTTGTCTTTTTTACAGATCCAATGGAGGGAAGAAACTGCTCAGATTTCAGTTAAATCAAGAAGAAAGGTAAACTAGTAATTCCTGGTTTGCTGATTTTATTTGTTTGTTTGTTTGTTTGTTTGTTTGTTTACCCTAGTTGTATCCCGCCTTTCTCAACCCTGAAGGGGACTCCAGATGGCCTTACTAAGGCAACAATTCAATGCCACATGTATACATACATCAATGAATTGAAAAAACATTAAAAACCAATCAATTAAAACATAACATTTAAACAACAATTAAAATCACATAATCCTTTCCACAGCAATCACCAAAAGAGAAATGGTGGCTGTATCCCTCATGAAGACTGCTGGGATCAGCCAAATCTGCCCCCAGACATACCTGCAATAGAGATGTCACAGCACATGCGGCGGTTACTCCATTTCCGAGACTGTTTGCACACGGATTCCAATAAATTGCTGATGGAATGGGACACACATCATGTGATATGATCCATTTAGAATTGTATGCAAAGGGTCTCAAAAATTGAGTATAACACAATGTGCAAAGATCCTAAATTGGGTTTTCTCCCCTGACAGCTATGGGACAGATAATTGACAATCCTCTCACAAACCCACATCTAGCAGTTTTAAAAACATGGCCAGTGTATAGAAAAGTTATACTATGGACTAAAACTCCTGCTGAACATTTAGGAACACATAGTCCAAATAACTTTTTCAAATCTCTGTGTGGGGGAGATACACTGCAGTTTTTTTTTCTCAGTTGCAAAGGAAGTGATGGTGCTCCTAACGATTAAGCAACAAACACTATTAAACGCTTAATAGCAGAAAATAAATTATACTTACATGGACCATCTGCTGGTCCGTAGTTAAGGAAGCAGAACCCTATCACTAGTAAGATCATGGTCCTCCAAGTCAGTTTACGCAAAAGTTGGATACGGCTCACTCCTCTTTTCATCATTGCATGGAAAGCCAATGCTACTGATGTGCCGATGATGAAAACAAACCTAAGCATCAAAGAGATTTAAAAACCTGGCTCAGACAGAATGCTCATTAACTTCCCTTTTAAGTTTTTGATTCAAATCCACGAAAGACCACATGCAATAAAAAACGTTTAATGCTCTAAATGCCATGCTTGTAAGGAAGTACTTTTCTCTCCAGTAAGAGAGCCATTGTGATGTAGTGGTTTGAGCATTGGACTATGACTCTTGAGAACAGGGTTTGAATCCCCATTCATCCATGAAAACCCATTGAGCGACCTTTGCCAAGAAAACCCCACGAGAGCTTCACTTTAGGGCTGCCATAAGTCAGAAACAACTTGATGGGGGAAATATATCAACAAAGGGCAGTTCCAGACAGTTGTAAAGTCTGTGTCTACCCGGGTATAGAAAAAAATACACCCACACAGCCTGGAAAATGTGCGCTTTTGGAGCTGGGTGTCGAGGTGTCTTCCTTTGCTCCTGCCCCTTTCTCATGGTGCATTGTTCCTAAATGCTAGGAGAGGCTGGCAGCACTTTAATGGCAGCTGGGTAAGTTCTTTTATTTTTTAAAAGGTTTTTTGTGTGTGTGTGTGTGTGTGTGTGTGTGTAGGGCGGAGAGGAGGTTAGAGCCCTCTCATGTTTTGTGGCCTGATTCAGCCTGGAAAATACCAGATAGCTGTGTGGACGACCCCCTCAAAAATCCCAGGACTTTTGAGGGGGCAGTCGAGACTCTGCCCACAACAGGAAAGACGCGGGTCTTTCAAGAAGACCCACTTCTTTCCCACTAACTAATAATCTTGGCACGAAGCAGAGTTGTCCTGCTTTGTGCTTTTATGCGGGGCATCGTCTGTCTAGATGGCCCCAAAGATAGATTTTTTTATTTATTGTATTGTCGAAGGCTTTCATGGCAGGAATCACTGGGTTGTTGTAGGTTTTTTTCGGGCTATATGTCCATGTTCTAGAGGCATTTTTTCTTCTGACGTTTCGCCTGCATCTATGGCAATCATCCTCAGAGGTAGTGAGGTCTATTGGAACTAGGAAAAAGGGTTTATATATCTGTAGAATGACCAGTGGAGCAAAGAACTCTTGTTTGTTGGAGCTAGGTGTGAATGTTTCCACTGACCACCTTGATTAGCATTTGATGGCCTGGCAGTGCCTGGGGCAATCTTTTGTTGAGAGGTGATTGGATGTGCCTGATTGATTCCCCTCTGTTCCTTTGCTGTTGTAATTTTAGAGTTTTTTAATACTGGTAGCCAGATTTTGTTTATTTTTATTTATTTATTTATTTATTTATTTATTTACGTCACTTTTATCCTGCCCATATTAGCCTGAAGGCAACTCAGGGCGGCATACAAATCGGTACAATTAAATGCCATATAAAATACATATGTCAGTTAAAAGAAAAAAAATCACATTACATTTAAAAACCGTAAAAGCAATAACAATAAAAATTATAAAAACTATGTCTTCTTGTTCAAATCCTTAACCATTCCATCATCTTAGCCGTTCCTAGTTCATATTCCAATTTGAGTTTATCTGGTCATGCTGAAGTTCCAAACGCTTGCTCAAAGAGCCGGGTTTTCACTCTTTTTCGAAAGGTCAGGAGGGAGGGGGCCAATCTAATATCCCTAGGCAGGGAGTTCCACAGCCGAGGGCCACCACTGAGAAGGCCCTGTCTCTCGTCCCCCCAGACATGCCTGTGAAGCAGGCGGGATCGAGAGCAGGGCCTCCTCAGATGATCTCAACTTCCTGGAAGGTTCATAGGGAGATATGCTTTCGGATAGATAAGCTGAGCCGGAACTGTTTAGGGCAGTGGTTCTCAACCTGGGTCCCCAGATGTTTTTGGCCTACAACTCCCAGAAATCCCAGCCAGTTTACCAGCTGTTAGGATTTCTGGGAGTTGAAGGCCAAAAACATCTGGGCACCCCAGGTTGAGAACCACTGGTTTAGGGCTTTATAGGCTAAAGCCAGCACTTTGAATTGTGCCCGGTAGCAAACCGGCAGCCAGTTTCCCTTGACGAAAAAGTAAGAATGCATTAAGTGAGATAATTTCACCTCATATATTTAAAAAGATGGTAGTGGAATAACACTTGTTAGTGTTTCTCGCAACCAACTATGCTTGTTAGGGCCAGCCAACCCAATAACGTTGGAATGGTGGCATCATCCCAATCCCTGGTTTGTAAGTCAGTATGGTGCAGTGGTTTAAGGGTTGGACTAGAACTATGAAAAGTTTGAATCTTTTCTCAATCATTGAATCTTTCTGGGTGGCTTTGGACAAGTCACACTCTGAAAACAATGACAAACCTCCTCTGATTAAATCTTCGCAAGAAAACTGTGCTAGGGCCACCATAAATCAAAGATGCCCTTGAAGCATTAATCCTACAGTGAAGATGCAATCTATGTTGCAGAACAAAGAGCAGAAGGAAAATGTTGCAGCTTCCCCAACTACCTTGAGGCAGTGAACTCCCTACTTACCCTTGGGACATGCCAATTCTAATAGGAAGTTGTAAGTGAGAGCAAGATTTTTTGTAATGCAATATCATGAATGACAAAGGGATGAAACAGACATAGGAGTGGCAGAGCAGATGGTTTTAGCCTCCATGTACACAAAATTAATTACAGACGAGCCTGAGAATGTTTTGATTTCCAATGGGAACGCAAGTCTAAACAGTGGTTAGGTTTCCCCTTGCATCAATTATTCTGAATGTTGCAGAGAACACTTTTATTACTTCCTTCCTATGAAAGGTATTTTAATATCCGCATCCCTGGTCGAGAAGACATAAATATTTTAATTAATAAATAATGTATGACAAATCATAACATTTGGGTTCCTATGATACATTAAGCCAAAGAAAAATAGTTTTTGGCTTTATTCCTACAATTAAGAAGTGGGGTTTTCCATGATAAATTGGGTAATATGTAATGGCAATTGAATATTCTATTAATTCAATGTGAAAATGTAATCAGGGCTTGGGGGGGGGGGGGAATGGTGCCCCTCCCCAAAGTCCCCAAAGTCAATTCATGTAATCTCCAAAGCCAATCCAATTAGTTTGCTGCCTGTGGCAGAAAATCCGACAAATCCCTCTCACCCTTCCCGACAAAAAAGTCAGATAGCTAATTGCCTCTTGCTGCCTCACTTTGTTGAATGGTAAGGCTAGCTTTAAACTTGATAGACAGATGAAAAGGTAATATTAAAGAAATGGATTTCTATATTATTTAGGATACAAATAATGGGATCTTGGGAGATTTTAATTAACACTGACAACCACACAGAGGGAGCGGGACTATTCCAACCTTCCAACTCACTTGGTAGGCCACACTGATTTTGATAATAATAATAATAATAATAATAATAATAATAAATTTTATATTAAATGTAATATTACTAATAATATTACAGTATACTGTTATAGTACAATGTGATATATAATATTAATATTGTACTATGGTAATAATATAATATATTGTATTTACTTTTTACTTGTAAGCCACTCTGAGTCCCCTTCGGGGTGAGTAGGGTGGCATATAAATATTATGAATAAATAAATAAAATAAATAACACTTTATTTATACCCCACCACCATCTCTCAGAGGGACTCGGGGCAGCTCACAAAACATTCAAAGGTGCGAACACAAAATATATAGAAAGTGCAAAGACAGCAAGACAAAGCAACAACAACCAACATAATAATCACAACCCCCTGATTAACATCAATAAAATGAAACAATAGCTGCATAACAACAACAACAACAACAACAACAACAACAACAACAACAACAACAACAACGAGAGCCCCCGGTGGCACAGTGGGTTAAACCTGAAAGGTCACAGGTTCAAATCCGGGGAGAGGCGGATGAGCTCCCTCTATCAGCTCCAGCTCCTCATGCGGGGACATGAGAGAAGCCTCCCACAAGGATGATAAAAATATCAAAAATCATCCAGGCGTCCCCTGGGCAACATCCTTGCAGGCGGCCAATTCTCTCACACCAGGAGTCACTCCTGACACGACAAAAAAACCCCCAAAAACAACAACAACAACAACAACAACAACAACAACAACAACTTTAATTTTATATCCCGCCACTATCTTCCCGAAGAACCAAATACAACAAAAACAGAATAAAATATAGCACAATTAAAATACATGAAATTTCAATATTGAAAACAATAAAACGGAACAACAAACATCATGGATTTTGATATGTCTGAAATGATTGAATATTGCCATCTTATTGAATTTGTTGCCCTCTTTTCTTTTTAGGGGGATGATGGGCAGGTTAGGGAAGAACATTATTTCATTTTGGGGTGTTTTTAGCAGCTTTGGTTGTAAGCTGTTCCAAGTCTGAGTACATTGTAAGCTGTTCCAAGTCCTTTTTTGGGAGATGGGGCGGGGTACAAATAAAGTTTTATTTATTATTGTTGTTATTATTATTGTTATTATTTGAAACACAACAAGATGAGTCCATAGCAAACAAGATTATTATGATGATTATTATTTGAAACACAATAAGATGAGTCTATAGCAAACAAGATAAACATTATGATTATAATCTGAAACACAACAAGATGTGTGCTGTCGCACGTTGGGCCTGTGCATAAGACTGTAGACAGGACATAAATTCCATGTGCCCAATGGGATGCCGGGCTGCCTCAGATTAAAGGCCTTTGGATTTCCTTAAAACAGAGTCTTTAGATTGCTTAAAGGTTCAACAAAGTTCTTTATTATTGATGAAAACAAATAGGTACTTTAAAGCTTTCTTAAGTCTATTGGCTCTCTCTCAATCATGTCCACAGGGAACAGGCACTATCTTCATAACTGTATACTAAGTAATGGGGAAATCCTTAACTTCTAATCTGGGCAGTCTGTCTTTGCCTCTGTTGGCGTGGAGCCCCTGCACCCGGTACCAACTGCTTCTGTCTTCCGGGAGTGACCCTTACCAAGCAGAGCTTTGTAGACTTCCAGAGGAAAAGGAGTTCAGGTTTCGGTGATGGCTGGCTGAAGTCCCTCAGCAAAGGAGCTGTAAGG